GTTATCTAAACTTAGCATTCTTATATATCTTATATCACACATTCATTTCAGAATATTAAGCTAAAAATCTTACACTAACACTATGATATTTGGTAATTTTAAAGTAAAATTGATTCTGCCTATAGAATGTATTCTATTTAAAGCTATAATTTGTAGCTTTTGAGTTTAAATGTGTTTTTTATTCTGAAATTTATTGTTCAGTTAACTTTTATATAAATATATTCAAACTTAAATCACTTTACATTCAACTCACTTTTAATAAAAATCAATTCTACAAAATCAATTAACTTAAAATCAATTCTTCTTACCTCAAAACCTAACATACACTAAAGACAACATCATTATTCATTGATATTTCGAGTTACTTTCAAATTCACAACTAATTTGATCAACTATCAAAATTATCATCTATAAAATAAAGGGTTAAATATACAATACCCCCTGCAATGTAGGTGAATTTTGATTTACCCCCCTAAAAAAATTTGGATCACCCCCTTGAAATATTAAAATTCTATGTCTTTTCCCCCTAAGTGCAAAAATTATCCCCCTGTAAATTTTATTTTTTATTTATCTCCCAGATTTATTATTTAATTTGTACGTTTAGGGGGTAAACAAAAATAATAATAATTACATGGGGGTAATCCAATTTTTTTACAGTGGGTAAATCAAAATTCACATGTACTGTAGGGGGTAAAGTGGTATTAACCCTAAAATAAATAATCACATTTAAAACTATGATGAACTCTGATAAAAGTGGCCGAGCAAAATAACCTTATTGTGCTACAATTTTAGAGATTTTCGTAGTGAATTTTTGTAGAGAGATTATTTTAGACTAATATATGAAAAAAATCAATTAAAAAATTAATAAAAATCTGTCTCATATTATAAGCAAATTTCATTTTTTAGATTCATTGAATAATTAATGTATATGATCATTATATAGACGAAATACATTTATTATTCAATGAATTTAAAATTTTGAAAAGTGAAATTACTAGATGGAGGGAATAATATATTTATCTAGAAAAACCACATAATTCTATAGAGAAATCGAAGAATTTTCTGCAGCGGTCTCTCATATAAAAAAATTGTTGATTAAAATAAAATAGACATTGTCCCGATAGTGACCATGTTAGCTTGACGCTCAGAAGATACGAAATGTCAAATAAAGCTAAAGAAAATATTTGATGTAGACAAGTTGATTTCGACTAAGAGGTCAAATGAAGACTTTAACCATGTATTTGTTGAAGAAGTCCCAGACCTGCGAAATGAGACTACGCTGGGACTTAGAAAGTATTTTTGGACTTAATTTTAAAATGAGTTCGACAAAGATAATTTGAAATAAGGCTGATAACCATATTTTGGCCTTACCCGTTCCTTAAAAGAGACGCGTGGAAACATGTGAAGGGTGAAGCACATGCAAGCGATAACGTGTCATACTTTGGAGAAGAAACTGTTTGTTACTGTTCTTATCAAAGTAGTATAAATAGGGGTCTTAGCATTAGGATTCTGAGTGTTTAATTTGTTGCAACCCAAAATTTATCTTCTTGATTTTTAGAACTTTAAAGGCTTATGTTTTATCATATGCATTCATACATTGTGATAGGATCAATGTATTTTGGTTCCTAAGGTCCTCCACAAGCTGTGAAAGATGGTTGTGTTGACAATCAGTGCAAGAAGGGTCTCATGCCTCAACCTTTGAGTCAATAAATCTACAAGGGTTTCTCATAACTCAATACATCTCAATTGTCTTTTTGATTCATCAGAAGTTTGAAATTGTAAGTGTTGATTTTTGAATCACTATTCTCTTATGCATCTCTTGAGATTAGGGTTTTGGCCAGATGAAGTGCTTGATACTTGTGTTGGTCAAATTTGTGAAGCAACATCCTCTCATTGTCATATGAGACATCTTTGTTGAAAATATTCCTCATCGTGTTCATTGGAATTAGGGTTTTGAGACTGAATCATCATCTACTAGCACAAAGGGCCAAAACTAGGGTTTTAGATTTGATCAGGAAATCTCTGACTTTTTGGACAAGACTTGATTTTGTGCTTCTCTACATGTCTATGAGAACCTATAATTTAATGATTGAGCACCAATTTTGATTGGAAGTGGTTCAATTGATCAATTAGGGGTAAACAATCATTAAAGCAAAAGTCAACTGTTGACCAAGGGAACATTTGGTCAAAGTTGAGGTCAATAATCATGTTTAAATATCATGTGGCCTATGGTTGAATAAATTCAAGAGAAATATGTATTTTGAAGTTAATTTTTTCATGAAGGTATCTTGGTGAAAGTTGAAAATTTACTAAGTATGGAAACTCATAAGGCTGAATTTCAAAAAGTCGTAACTTCTTCATTTTTTATTGAAAAAATACAATCTTTACATGTTTGGAAAGAGGAGGAAAAGTTCTTCAACTTTGTCATTCTGATCTCAAGTCCAAAAAGTGAAAGGAGAGAGAGAGAGAGAGAGAGAGAGAGAGAGAGAGAGAGAGAGAGAGAGAGAGAGTCATACGGCTTAGAAAATCTTGACACTGTAAAAATTTCAAGTCATGGGCATGAAATGAGATTTCTTCATGGCTATTTTTAGGGTTTCATTTGGACTCAAATCATAAATTTCCAAACATGAAAGTTGAAGTTTAGAAATTATTCTTAAACTTTGATTCAAGGATCATCTCATTTGGTGCATTATGGAGAGAGATGCAATGTTTAGGTTTTGAAGCCACAATATGACATTTTGCTAGCAAGCATGTGTGTCAAACCTGGAATTTTATCAAACGGTTGGTGGGAATATGTTCATATCCACTTTTCTTGTTTAATCACTCATTATTTTGAAAATTGATCAACATAAAATTTAAGTTTTGAACTTCCCTCTTCAACTTTGTTTCAAATTTTATTCCATTTAGATTACTATGGAGAGAGGTATTAAGGTTATAAGTTGTCAAAATGCTAGGCATGCCCGTGCACCCACGCCATGCAAGCTCAATGTCTAGTTTTCTTCATGGCAACTTTTCAATACCTTGCAAGCCTAATCTCAAATTTCCATCAACATCAATATTGAAGGGCATCATTCCAGCTTTCTAAAGGACTCAAGTTTGTAAAAAATGCATGAGGGAATTTGAAGATACTACTTAAGGACGAGGCTTGTTTCCTTGGGCATGATGCTTCAGCAGGCCATTGTAATGCCCCAATCTGTCCTATCCATTTTGCTCTTATCTAGCGTAGGCTTTGCATTTCATCTGCATCATTTTTATTAGGTCAATCAGACATCATTCCTTCATTAAATAAAGAAGGGGTTCACAATAAGAGGTCGTGCTAATTAGGGTTTCTATTGTTTTGAGGCTTCTACACTCAGAACAGTTGATTTCCTTGGTGCTTCTCTTGAGCAGTGGACTATGCGAATAAGGGTTTCGAAGTATGGTTATCACGAGCTTATTCATCCATGAACAAGGCTGTTTCTCATTCAAATTCACCAAAGGCCAAGGATTAGGGTTTATTTCCCTACCCAAGGTCAATGGTTCATGGTTTTTATCCCAAGGATACCTTTGTTATTTCAAGCTTCTTTTTCACTCGAGGTTCTTCCCAAGGGCATTGTGTTTGGATTAAGATCATTAGTCATCAAGTCAAGGGTTCACGTATTTAATTGCAAAGTATTTAGAGATGATTGTTGTGAAGTCATAGGATGATCAAGGCATGGTTATTCTTTGTTACTTCAGTTACAAGTCACTTGCGATTTGAACATGTAAGTTAAGGTTTACATTGAGAATTGGATTCAAGTTAGGAGATGATGCATATGGCTTACTTGGCATGCAAGTTACAAAAGTCATTCATCATTCGAATATCCACAAAATTTCAAGACTTATTCAAGTTTCACTAAGTCCATATAATTCGTCATTGTCCATCATTCAAAGTTCATCCAAGTATTCGTCAAATCCCATTTTTAGGCATGATGTTTCAAAGTTGTCAAAATTGTTCAAGACTTATTTGTAAGCCATAAATTCATCCGAGCCTTCAATATATTCGAGCTCCAATTAGCAAGCGTACAAATTCCATCAAGGTTCATTCAAAGTGAAGCACCATTCATCAAGATTCAAGAAAGTTTGTAAATACATTTAATGTGTTATCATTCATCATTTACAAGTGCACTCAAATTTTCTTTACAAGACAAAAAGACAAAAAGGGGAAATTTTAAATCCTGAGGCTATTCTATAGGATCTTCATCTTCTTCAAACTCCCTTCCAAACTTCATGCTAGCCATGATTCCTTATTCAAACTTGCCTTGCTTTCTTCACCTTCCATCAACCCTCGCATGAAAAACACAAACAAAGAAATTTGTTTAGTTCAATCTTAATTTGAACAAGAAGTTTTCAAGCGAAGTTTTCTTCTAATCTCATCATTAGGGTTTATGAAGGAATCAGAAACAAAGGGTGTTTTCAATCATGCGATAAATCCAATCCAAAGCCTCATATTAAATATACTTCATAACAAAATTCAGAAATGTTTTTCAAGTCATGGGCCTTATCTCCTATTGCAAATCATAAAAGGTTATTTTGGTTCACAATAAAGGAAAAAAAGAAAGTCCATGTAGTAAAACAAAATACAAACAAAAGTTTCAATTCCAGCTCAACATACAATAACAAATGCAAATCTCAAGTATAACAAATCAGAAGAAAAAAGATTCAAAAACAAGTTACTGCAGCAACAAAGTCAAACAAAAAGCATTGCCAAAAACTCAGCCTTGCTTCCAACAATCTATTTTACTGTAACGTCAAATACAACAAACCAAAACAACCCCAAAATTCTAACTTTTGTTCATCATTTTCCTAAAAGCACAAACCCTTCAGAATTATATGAGAAAGGAAGAATGACAGTTTTGAATCATAGACAGAAAAATAAAAAAGACTAAGATCAGAAAGGCATCACCAAAGCATAACAATCCAAAACCTGCAAAGTCCTATACCAATCAGCCCAAAACAATGTCAGAACAGCCCTGCATAACATGTGTTTCGTGTTATCAAAACCATCCCACTCCCCTCAAAAAATCTGTCAATATTGTACACAAATAACACATATCAAAACCTGCACCCCAAAAGCAAAAAATCAGCATGACAAAATTTTTCAAATTGACCTAAACTTTCCCCCCAAAATCCCCATTAATTCCTCTATATCAACCATGCTCTGTTCATATAATTAGGACCGGATATGCACACAGAAAGAGAGAAGACACCCAAGTTTCACAGAGAATAAAAGAAAACTGATCAAAATGCTGCAAGTTCAAAACACCTTCCTCCAATTTAACACTCTAAAAAACCAGATCTTCCTTCCTCAACCACAATACCATTGTAAACCCAACCTTCGACCTTCTTCATTCACTTAAGCAATTTAGTACCATCTTCACGCAGAGCATGCCAAACATCTTCTTCAATGCATCAATACGATATTTGCAAAATTATAAACAACAAAAATTGTTTCAAGCTGCAGCTCCAAACAATTAATCAACAAACCTGTAGCAGAAGTAGCGCAACATTCATATTCCAGATTGCCAAAACCAGAATTTTTTGAAAAAGCGGAAAGAATTAAAGAGCATACTTCTATTTTTGGTTATTATTTTGTCGTCGGCATCAGAATCCTCATACTAGTTCCGAGCATGTGAGTTTTCTCTTCATTTCCTCAAATATATTTATTGTTGCCTTGCTATGGTGATGTTGATATTTATTGCTATGCCATAAAACAGAGATGTGAGAAAGAATTAGGTCGTTGTTGTTGTTTTGATGAATTTGATAGATAAAAAACGAGAGTGAGAACATGTGAGGAAATCACAAAAAATAGAGTTTGTTAATGGTGAACCGTGAACAAGTAACAACCAAATATTTCATGGAAAAGTTCTACCTTAACTTCCTCAACCTCACTGCAAGTTGGCTCTGTAATCATAATCCCACAATATTCATCTCTAACTTATGTACCTCTGCTCATACTCCTCCATCCTATCAAACACTTCACTAACCTTCAGAAACCCCATCAAAGCCGCATAAAACCTACAAAATTGCAACTTACCTTTAAACAAAACCTGACTGCAAACCTTCAACATACCACTCAAACCAACCTATCAAACTAGACTGACTTAACACAAACCTCACTTCAGCCTACCATTAACGCCTTCATGCACCAAAACAACTCCCCAACATTCAAGAACATTCATCTTCATGTATCCCTGCAACATCAAACATAACAATAATGTGTCAATTCCACACCTCTTTTTGCTCAACACTCAACATGCACGGAAAAGCGTAGAAGTAGAAGAAGAATGAACAAGAGTTTGCAAGGTCTTACCTGAGTCCTCATTATCGACGATGTCAGAGGCTCGAGCGGAGAAGTGAGATGGAGTCATAGATTGAAGCAGAGCTACTGATGTGAAGAGATCGATGAGGGCGATCAAGCCGCGTTGAAACGTTAAACGTTAAAGATGAGTCATGATCGGGATTTTTTGAAGGTTGAATCGAAATTGAGTTCGTGATAGAGGCATCAAATCAATGTCTAAGTGAAGAGATGCGACATTGTTTCAGAAACGAGATAAGAGAGAAGAGAGAAAAACAAATTGATTTTGTTGATATTGAGATGAACACAACCAAGAGAGAGTGGCACTATGAGGATGAAAAGGGTTTTGTTGTTGTGGTTGAGTGTGAGGGATGGGGCAGAGAGGGAAAGAATGATTTTCTTTGAAACACAGTTTCTCTCTGTTTTGCAAAGGAGGGGACTGTTGAAAACTGTAACCCTAAAGTGTTGTGTTGATTTTCCCCTTTGATCTCAATTGTGTCATACTTTGTTTTAGATTTTTTAATTCAGAAATTTATTTGAGGTGGACTGGGTGTGTTGAACGAAATACCTCATGGGCCTGTGCTGCATTTTCACACTAAGTCCACCAGATTTTTTTGGACAAACTGAAGGTGGTAACGCAAAAACTCTCTCCTAGACCTTGCCATGGGCCTTAGCGCCTAGCCCTTCTTCTTATTACGTCCATGATTCTATTCTGCACCCCCTTGACTTTTTTTTTTCTTTTTTCAATTTATTATTTGTTTGATTTCATCATTTGATTGTTTTTGATCTGTCTATATTTCTTCCTATACAAAAAAATGCTTCAAAATATTAGAATAAGTTTTAATTTCCTTTTAGGTGTTTAATATTTCTCTTCCTTACATGACAAAAATAACAAAATGTTAGAATTAGGATTTTAATTCCCTTTTGTTTTTAATATCTCTTAATATAAAAAATAATAATAAATAATAAAATGACAAGTTTGTTAATAGTATTGATAAATAATATTAAAATTAGAATTTTAATTTTCTTTTGGTATTGGATTTTCTTTACTTGGTAATCATAGATAATTTTAGAATTTAGGTTTTAGTTTCTTCCGAACTTATAATTTCTTTATTTGAAAATATCATAAAAAATATTGATAGTTATTTTTTTAGGTTGATTGATTGATTCTTGATGAACATGTTCCATTAAGAACTCCATTAAACGATTAAACTTTGTTTTGATCGTTTTAGTGTTGGATTAGACTTTAAGATCAACCTACAATGATAACTAATTAGGTTAGGAATTTCCCTTTTACACTCAATATTAGGTTCACCTTTGTACATGACAACAATTAGGGATTTCTAGTCTCCCTCTTAGACTCTTTCTTCTTTTGTAATTAAAACTCTTTTCTTTTCTTAATCAAAAAAATCCAAAAACACTTAACTGTTACTTAAACTCATTTCACGATTAACGAAAATACCCAACAAATCAAAATTTCCCTCAAAAGGGCATGTTATCTCCGTTCTACTGTAATATAGGTTGTGCGTATTGCTAAAATGCGTGCGTTAACATCGCCCACTAAAACACACCAACAAACAAACATTTTATAGAAGAACTACGATGTCTGATTCCTTCACTGGATACATAGGCAAAGGGTTTCCATACCCTCATGAACGCACTAATAAAAAACCATTTCTTTCCCCTTAGCAAGTATAGTTACAGATAAACACACCCTTAGAAGCAAACAAACAAAATGTATCCCGTTGAGTAGAACGGACGTGAGGGGTGCTAATACCTTCCCCTTGCATAATCAACTTCTTTACCCTCTGTCTTGGTCGCAAGACCATCTTATCCATCCTCTTTTGGTTTTCTCGATATTTCCCCTTCCTTCAGGATAAATAAAGTTCGGTGGCAGCTATGTATTTTTTGCCGGTAGCTTCAACTGGCGACTCTGCTGGGGGCCTTTACGAGTCTATCTACTTTTGTTTATTTGTCTCTTTGGATGTTTATTTATTTACTTTATTTGGTTTACCGCTTAATTTATTTCTTTATTTTCCTTTGTATATATTGTATTATATGGTTGCTACTCACATATTCTGGATATGATGTATCGTTTGTGATGTTGGGTTGGGTGATTACATTTGATAAGTCCTATACCTAAAATTGGGGTTACATTTAGGATTAGGACGGGTGGTATAGTCGTGTTAACTTTGTGTGAGTAATCCCGAAGAAGGAGGCATGAGATCCCCCACTCAGTGGAGGTCCCCTTGAACGTAACATTGTTTACCGAGTAATCGGAAAGACATTATTTCTTTCGACCTGGGAGCCAGAGAAGCTGAGAGCCGTAGAATCATTAACATATTCTGGCCTTTTTAGGTGTAGTGCAGAGACTATAACAGAGTAAAGCGGAAGTAATTATCACACGATGCTGCAGTCGGACGGGTTTTTCCTGCGAATATTACTAATTATCGATTAATTGGGACGTTGGTAATATCCAAAGGAAGAGCGTAGACTCTGAGGTTTCCCTAGAACCTTGTTCGGAGGGTGATAAACCCCTAGTACATACCTTATGGGTGGTTACTTAGACTCCATGCTTGTGACGTCGGACCTTTGATCCTGTTACTTTCAGCTTATGCAAAGGACTATACAGTGGTTATCCAGAATACATGGAGCTGAAATCTCATGCCATAGCATACCATGACACCATACTATCATGTATATACATCTCATATCTAAGGAATTCCAAAGATAAGTTTCATTGGTGAGCTCTTCAAAAATGAAAATAAAAGTTTTAAAAGATAGACGAGTCTTTGGATTTCCTTAGAAGTGAAGATAAAACATTCATTCATATTATCATGCATTCATTATTCACAAACAAAAACGTATTGGGGTCCCTTTTCAATCGATTTCAGTGAACAACAAAGATGACTTCCGTACATCCCTACCGTACAAGAAGCAACCAGCGAAGACTTATGGATATTTTAGAAGAAAATCATAATGCTCTCCGCCGAGATATGGACACCATGGGCACTCGCATGGATCAACTTATGGAAATCCTTCATGCTGTTATCAAGGGTCAAGAAGAGTTACATCAAAGTGTTGCCAGGCTTGCCACTGCTGCCCCTCCACTTCGGCAAATGGAGGGAATATTAATGCAAATGTTGAGACCCCTACTGGAGTTCCTCGAAATGATGTTGATGATCATCACAATGTCATTGATCTTGATGAGCCCCACACAAATCTCACTGCTGGAGTTGCTGAAATTGAAAATATATACCATGCTCTTGAAGAGCGTCTCAAAGCCATGGAGGGTATCAAGACTTCGGGATTCAATACTGCTGCAATGTGTCTCGTGCCTGGTGTAGTTATCCCTCCTAAGTTCAAGGTTCCTAATTTTGACAAATACAAAGGCACCTCCTTCCCAGAGACTCATCTTCATTCCTACTGACGCAAGATGGCAGCCTATGCTGAAAATGAACCGTTACTCATGCACTTCTTCCAAGATAGCTTGACTGGGGCACCGTTGGACTAGTATATGCAACTAGAAAGAACTCATGTTTGTACTTGGGGAGAGCTTGTTGACGCCTTTTTGAAACATTACTAGTTTAATACTACCATGGCTCCTAGCCACACTCAGCTTCAAGGGATGACACGTAAATCTTAAGAGTCTTTTAAGGAGTACGCCCAAAGATGGCATGAACTGGCTGCAAGGGTCCAACCTTCTCTCTTGGATCGTGAACTGATTGATTTGTCATGGGTACTTTACGAGGTCCTTATCTTCAACACTTTCTTAGCAGTACCTCTACTTATTTCTCTGATATGGTCATTATTGGAGAACATGTTGAAACTTGTATTAGTGTTGTCACAATAAACCTAAGAAAAGCTCCTGCATATCCT